TAGATCTACAACCATGGTGAAAGCGAATGAAGGATCTAAAAGAGTAAAAAGAAGTCTACCGAAAGTAAAAAGGAACAAGACTAACCTCTGGGGTATAAAGCAGCAAAGAGCACTGCAAGATCGCTGGAAGAATGACTCTTGAAGAATTTCACCGGATGAAATTTAGCACTGTTCTAAAAAGATGAGCGAGAGATTTGACTGATGATGGAGAGAGATGGAGACGGTAAAAGGCATGAAGTGGCATTCTAGAGCCTTATAAAGACGAAGTGGACCCAAGGGCCGAAGCGTCAGGGGGGCGAGAAGTTTATCGAATCCCGGAACATTGATTCCGGATCCGACCGCCCATTCCCCCATAAGAGTTTCTCGAGCCGTCAACGTCATGATGAGACGCCTTTAATAATTACCCCCTTATTAAATAGGGAGTAATTATGGGGGCAGTTGAGGAGACCAGAAGTGACATGGGCCGGATATGGCCCGCGAACATGGCATCCGGTCAGAGCAGCTGGGTCCAGCCCATAGAGAAATACTGTCATATGGGCCGAACGTGAATAGCCCATCAAAGATGACCAAAACCCACAGAGGAACGGGCCCAGATCTAGCAGTCCATTAGTGTTTGTAAGTATCTATAAATATGAGAAGTAACGGATAGAGAATGGGATTATTCTGTTGAAGTGTAAGAATTCTAGAGAGAAAATAGAAATAAATTCCTTGTATCTTCACCTGGTGACATATATAGGCATGTGGTTCCTACTGCTAATGAAACTGAGACAAGTCCATTAAGCAAGGAGTAGATGGATCACCTTCGGAAGATGCTGAAATTTAATTCCTCATCTGGTATTCCTTGCACAAACAGGTGGTGCACTTAATGCCTTTTCTTGTTGTTTAAATTATACTCCATGGATCATCGATTCTGGAGCCTCTGATCATATGACCAGCCTTTCCAATCTTTTTAGCACTTACTCAGCATGTTCTGGCCTTGAAAAAATTAGAATTGCAAATGGTAGTTTCTCACCTATTGCAGGAAAATGTTTGACAAAATTATCAGAGAATATAGATCTTAAATCTGTTCTCCATGTCCCTAAACTAGCCTGTAACCTTTTGACTGTGAGTAAACTAACCAAATAATCTAATTGTCGTGTAACTTTCTGTGATTCTTACTGTAAATATCAGGATCGGAGCTCGAGAAAGAAGATTGGCAGTGCTAAGATAATAGATGGACTTTACTACTTTGATGGGGACTTCTCCAGTAATAAATAGGCTCAGTTCCTTAGTAGTGTTAGTTCTAACTTTGTTTACGAACAAATAATGTTTTGGCATTTAAGACTAGGACATTCTAGCATTCCATATCTTAAACATTTGTTTCCTATTTTATTTCAAGGTTTGGATTGTTCATCGGTCTATTGTGAAAGTTGTTGCTTATCTAAGAGTCATCGTACTACTTATTTGCCAAAACCTTATACTTCTTCCCTAATTTATATATGTTAGACAACATAGTATGGTCACTACACAAACCAACTCAAAAACTAAATTGGATCATTGAAACAACAAAATAAGATTTAATCAAAACACGGTAATTAAATCTCTAGATTTTCTAAAACAACCCCAAATAAACCCAATTTGATATATATACAAGTGAACAAGCCCAAGTCACTACCATTATCAAGTTAAAAACTCAATCAAACTAATGGAACCATTAATTAGATTTTAATTAATTCATTTAATTCAGAATCTCTAGATTTCTAAACTTATCCGAATGCTCTGAAAAATGTGTTTTCATAGGGTTTGCTTCTAATCAAAAGGGATATAAGTGCTATAATCCCCAAACAAGAAAATTTTATGCAAGTATGGATGTCTCTTTCGTTAAAAATAAATCCTACTTTCGCAAAAATTCTCTTCAGGGGGAGAATAAGGTGATTGAAGAAAATTTTTGGAATTTATCTCCTACTCCTTTACCAAATGTGATTTTGACTCCTCACCTCATCCTAATGTTATTTCCGAAATTCAAAGTTAGGAACAATATGGTGAAACCCTAATCATATAGTGCCAAACATTACTGTATTTGAAACAGGGGAAGAATCACTACAACCGGGCACTAAAGTTCCCAATACTGAGCCTCTGGTTTATGCTCGGAGAATACCTCATCAAAAGAGTCAAAGTCAGCCTATTCCTCTTGGAAATGATCAATCTCAACCTCCGGGAACTAGACCTCCAGATATCACAAGTAATTCTGTTCCTAACTCATCTTCAGTTCTTATTGTTTCTCCTAACCAAGAACCATCAGACCTTGATATTCCTATAGTTGTTAGGAAAGGTATTCGAATCAAATATCCAAATCCAAAATATCCCATTACCAAATACCTTTCTTATGAAAAACTTTCTCATACTCATAGGGTTTTTACCTCAAAAATCTCACACTTGTTTGTCCCGAGAAACATTCAGGAAGCTCTTGATGATCCGAATTGGAACTTAGCAGTGATAGAAGAAATGAATGCTCTTAGAAGAAGTGGTACTTGGGAGATAGTTGATTTACCTAAGGAGAAAAGAACAGTAGGCTGCAAATGGGTCTTTACTGTGAAATGTAAAGCTGATGGTAGCATAGAGAGGTACAAGGCAAGACTAGTAGCAAAAGGGTTCATCCAGACCTATGGAATTGATTATCAGGAAACTTTTGCTCCTGTAGCCACGATAAACTCAATCAGAATTTTGTTATCTTTGGCTGTGAATTTTAGCTGGCCATTACACCAGTTGATGTAAAAAATGCCTTTTTAAATGGAGATCTTGAGGATGAGGTCTTTATGAATCTACCACTTGGGTTTGAGGGAAAATTGGGACCTAATAAAGTCTGTAGACTAAAAAAATCTTTTTATGGTCTCAAACAGTCCCCTAGAGCTTAGTTTGAGAGATTTGAAAGAGCTGTGAAGAATTGTGGCTACTGTCAAAACCAAGCTGACCATACCATGTTCTACAAACACAGTAGAGAAGGCAAGGTTGCAGTGTTAATTGTCTATGTGGATGATATAGTCTTGACAGGTAATGACAATGAATAATTGGAGAGACTAAAAAAGAGACTTGCAGCTGACTTTGAGATCAAGGATTTGGATGCATTAAAATACTTTCTAGGAATGGAGTTTGTTAGATCCAAAGAAGGTATATTTGTGAATCAACGTAAATATGTTCTCAATTTACTTAGTGAGATAGGTTTGCTGGGATGTAAACCAGCCGAGACACCCATTGAGCCCAACTTTAAGCTGCAGCCTTCTAAAGATGAAGAAGTTATGAATAGAGAACAATATCAAAGACTTGTTGGAAGACTGATCTACTTGTCACATATACGTCCAGATATAGCTTTTGCAGTCAGCATGGTTAGCCAGTTAATGCATTCACTTGGACGAGAACACTTTGATGCAGTCTACAGAATTCTCAGATACCTAAAGGGGACCTGGAAGAGGTCTACTGTTAAAAAACCGTGGGCATTTGCAAGTACTGATGCGGATTGGGCTGGGAGTGCTATTGATAGACGGTCAACTTCTGGCTACTGCACCATTGTTGGAGGTGACCTTGTCACCTGGCGGAGTAAAAAACATAATGTAGTAGCAAGAAATAGCACAGAGGCAGAGTTTAGATCAGTTGCTCATGGAATTTGTGAGGTGTAATGGATTAAGAGACTATTGGATGAATTAAAGGTCTCTAATCCGTTGCCTATGAAATTGTACTGTGACAATAAAACTGCTATTTCGATCGCTCATAATCCAGTGCTTCATGACAGAACAAAGCACGTGGAGGTAGACAAACACTTCATTAAGGAAAAGCTCGAAAAAGGATTGATCTGTATGCCGTACATTCCTACTACCGAGCAAGTTGCAGATGTGCTTACAAAAGTACTTCCCACAAGACAGTTCGACAGACTAATTGGCAAGCTGGCTATGGAGGATATCTTCAAACCAGCTTGAAGGGGAGTGTTGAAAAGGAAAGATTCGGTAGTAATACTACCAAATATTATTAGCTGTAAATATAATATTTGGAGGATATTTGCTGTAAATAGAATATTGGTCAAATACTGTAAATTAGGAAATTATTAATTAGGCCAGCTTATTATGTGCGTGTATTCTTTCTTATAAAGAGAACCCGTGTAAACTTGTGAATAGGGTACTAATACAGAGAAAAAGTTTATTCTATATTTCTTCCTTTCAAGTTTATAGTTATGTTATAAAATTATTGGAGAGCCAACAACTATATTTTATGTTATATAAAATTATTGGAGAGCCAACAACTAGAATGACTCATGTCAATGTTATAAAATTATGGGAGAGCCAACAACTGCATGTTATGTTATAAAATTATGGGAGAGCCAACAACTAATATGAAAATGAAAGTGATATTTTTTTTGGGGATTTGAATATGGGCATATCTACTTGGGAAGCTTAGCTTTCTATCAATAGGTAATGCCAAATGATATGAAAATGAAAGTGATAAAATTATGGGAGAGCCAACAACTAATATGAAAATGAAAGTGATATTTTTTTTTGGGGATTTGAATATGGGCATATCTACTTGGGAAGCTTGGCTTTCTATTAATAGGTAATGCCAAATGATATTCAGATTTGTGAAAGTGAAACAATTAAGTTGTTTATATAATGCCTATATGATATTCAAATTTGTAGAAGTGAAACAATTAAGGCAAACAGCTAGTTAGGTAATTAATGACCTTAATTGTTTAACTTTGACAAATAAGCTAACTGAATGGCCTAAATATCATGACTCAAATGAAAATTGAAGTGTCAAAAAACTAGTTTGAATTTATTGTAGGGAGATCAATGATACGGTAAAGACTTTCATACATCTTTAATACTTCGTTATTTGTACTATTAACCAATTGTATCGTGTTACATAACTAAAAATGCTTTATTTTAGTAGATCCTATCACTACGTGTCAATATTTAATAAACTCATATACCATGTCATCACTACAATCCGCACAATTATGTTTTTATCAATGTGTCTTTAGAATGACTAGGAGGGAAACAAGCGTTTTTTCAAATAATGTATACTCATATCAAGTTTCAACATTCAATTCAATGGATAGAGAATACATGGTGTGTCAAGTAATAGTAGAACACCCTGGAGGCAAATAATGGAACAATGTTGCTTGATATATGAATGTGACATATCTAGCTATCAAGCTAAGTTAGTAATAGTAGACCATACAAGAGGAAATCTAGACAACAGGGATCAGCTTATCAAGAGTCCTGGATTGGAACTAATGGTAGTTTGCCTCCATATGTATCTGGAAGTTGGCTCTCGTCAATGTCGCAAAGCAACGTCGGTCTCAATTTTTTGTTCTCAACAAAAATTATCTGTCAAAAATGTGGTAAACATGATATTAGAATAAGCTCTTTATGACAAAAAAATGCTCAACGATTTGTAGACTAGATATGTTCGTTTAAACGTGTTTGCTTTTTGCAGTCGTTACCATCCAATTTTTCTTCAATTTATGAAATTCTAACATTTTGGATATGGGGCAACTATGATGTTCTTGACATATTCGAACTTGCTCAATCTTAATTCTCTCTCTTAAAATTCCCTTCATTTATTTAAAAGGTATGAACAATCATTTTGTTCTGTTTTGATTTCAAGGACCAAAACTGATGACTGAATTGAGGTTCCATAATGGCCTTGACAAGAACCATATTTGTTTTAAGCAGCTGTAGTGTCATTCTGATCATATCAGATATAAAGACAATATATGAATCTTTTTCTAGTCTATGGTCAGAAAACCACAAGTTTTGATAATATTTTAAGTGGAAAAAAACGTTCTATCAATGCAATGCAATCCAGGTTTACAAGAATTTGATGTAGTCTGTCTTGAAAGAGAAAAAGAATTACCTTCTTTTTGGTTTTGTTGTCAATAAACGGGTAAACAGCTTTCCATGCTGTCATAAACATGTAAGGCGAGTGGACTATAAATAACTTGCCTAGCCTCTCTGGAAAACAATCCTGCGAACGGAACAACCCGATTACAAAAATAAGCATTTTCTGGTTTGAGTCAAATTTGCATCCTATAATTGAAAGAGGATATATTGCTACTTTAAATTCAATATGCAGAGGCAGAAGAAAATTTTCACTAGCGGAAGAATACTTCAGACAACCTAGAGAGAGTGTTTTTCTAAATCTTGACATGTCCTGTAATGAAATACAAAATATGGTGAGAACTCAAACCTGCAAGATCGATAGAGCTGCAAGATATCCGCGAATGTCACTATTAGAATATCCCCATCCTTCAAGGTCTGCGATGCAGACAAACTTTTCCTGTCCTCTCGGCATTCTGACAGATAAAGATACCATAAAGTATTAATAAAGTCAATTTGCTGAAATATTCCAACATTAGAGAAAATAGACCTTATTTCCACTGTATTCAACGAAAAATTAAAACGGAACTCTTAGGTTTAGTTTAGTATGAAATAAAGTAAATTTGAAGAATGTTCTAGAAATCGCATTACCATTTCCAGTGGAGAAAAAAATCCATTTTTTGTTGTTAACTACTTGTACAGTCCAACAAAATGAAATAATGTGGCTTTAACATTAAGTTTCACAAGGCAGGTTTCCAAGAAATGGATAGGCCGACCACATCTCATTCATCTAACAATTATTTATCAATTTAATTGCTTATCCACGTCAATACTGCAATGATGTGCTCTTTCATTCATGAACACTGAGGTCCCATTTTCTAGATATCTGTTTTCCATTGGAATAAAACGAGACAGAGAAATCAAATGTACTCAAACAGATAATATACCTTGCACAAATTTTGTCGAGAGTGTACGCCACAAAACCTGTACATGAAAAAAGAGAAAAGAGAGGACAATTTAGCTTAATGAAAGATTGATCAATGTGGCTTTTGCTGAGATTTGAAATTAGATTAAGTTGCTAATGTGGTTTCAAATACGATATATGGATTAAATGCAATAACGTACGCTTGAATTCCTCTAGACTCCCTTTGCTAGGTTTATGTTGGGAACCAAAGGCAACTACTATGGGGCGTCCCATCTTATCCAGTCCTTGCATAAAAATCTTTTTTTGGGCAAGTTCATTTGAAATCTCTGATGTAGATATAAAGCCATTGGGAATAAATGCTTGCCTCCAGCTTAGGTAATTTAGAAGTAGACTGGAAGCCTTCTCAATATCTAGATCACGAGCTCGCAGAAATCTCCTAATCATAAAATCATCTACATCCTGCAATCCCAAGGAAAACACACGCACAACACAAAATAAGCCTGTCAGAGTACTGATTCAGGTAACCATATGCCAGTGAAGCCCTTAATGTAGAATCAGTATGTGTGAGTTTCGGGATAAAAATTTATTTTACATATAAAGGGATGTTGATTTAACTACTAAGAAGTCTGTGTTTTCCGTGCGGTACATGGGCATATTGAACGCAAGAGTTCAAGGTCGGTAGCCCGGTACACAATGTTGACCTTTCCAATGCACTACACTTTTCCAATGTTGTGTGCAGGAAGGCTGGACCATGTAGAGATCTAATGTTCGGACATCAGCAAAATTTACATGAAGTGGCTGCCCTAGTCCTGTACCCACATTCTCAGACAATATTTTACAATTGCACTATATGGCTGAAATTTCAGTTGTGTGGAAAAAGAAAAGATAATACTAACTATGAGGGAAAAGAAAAGAAAGGAAACGACAACGTAGTCCCTTTTATCGTAAGGAGGGAAAGAAAAGTGAAGGATAGAATCGACTCGTGCTCATGTTTGGGGACAAAAAGAAATGGAAAGTATCTTAACAATTTTACCATTATGCCCTTCAAAATTTGGAGTAGAATAGTTAGGTGAGTCATTTTCTTACAATCGATATATCTTGTAAAGGTGTATATATGTTTAGTTGTTTACAAACTAATATTTTTACAAGAAAAGCATCTACTTATTTTTCTTTCATATTCAAATTTGTTTGTTAATGTATGTGTCTGTGTGCTTGTCATTTGAGCCGCAACCCATAAGAATGATACTATTGGGTGCAACACCTAATGCCTTCTCACTTCTCAGCATGTCCAAGCATATAAGAAGAAAAAACTTCATAAACCTAGCTGAGTTTGAGTAGGGATTGACCTTAATCATCATTTGAGTAAGCAAAGTATGGTCTTTATATAGACCCCTCAAATGTGTTTCGCGTTCAGTTCTCAAAATCCATGAATTAATATGGGGGAAAAAAATTACACAAATTAAGAAGATTTATGTTACCAAATGCTGTGTAGCCTAGTGGCATCTCCACTACCTTCCAAGGATAATGGTTTATTTCACAGTAGAGGATTCACATATCCACACACACATGTTGTGTCATGAAGATATAGTTTGTTCCTCATAGTTTGTAAAGCACAATTAACCAAAATGAAAGAGTAACTAGTAATCAAACAACCAGAAACATTCAGAAGAAATTCAATTAATTTTAATTGGACAAAACAAATAATTCAAAACAGGAAACAAAAACATCAATAGAAAGAGAAAAAAGAAAGAGAGGTGGTTTGACCTTTGCAGAGGGATTTTGAGTTTGGATGAAGTCTCTCATGATTCCAATTTTGGTTAGCTCTATCTCATTGCTTTCCAAGTTATCTTGCACTCCACTTGCACCCTCAACCCCTGTAGACTCCATCACTGTACCCATCAATATTTCTCCAGTTTAGAGAGAGAAAACACTCCGATTCTCTCTCTATATGTATAGAGAGAGAAAGGACTCTGTTAAGAGTGGAAGCTATAAATGCAACGAGATGAGATGTGCGGACAAGTGAAGGAATAGAAGGGAATGAATGAATTGAACACAAAAGGGTTTTTAATTATAGTCCTCACATTTGGGCAAGTTTTATATTCCAAATCAGGATCGGGGACTCCATTCTTGACTTGACTTCTCTCTTAACCTCCTTGTTTCTCTGGTTCGTTGCAAAAGTCGCCGTAGGGTGATACGACGACGTGCCACAATAGCGTACGCGTGTTTTAAGCTGATTTCAGATTTATGGAAAATTGAGCATTCGTGGGTAAGAATAAGATGACCCAACCACCTTCATTGGACTCGATATTTTAAAATAGCGTGATTAATTAATTAGTTTAAAGCTAGAATTTGAGTCAAAAGAGAAGGGCAATTCTGATATTTTAACTTTCTGGTAATTGAAGTGTTCAACTTTAATCCGTTAAACTTTTATTCAAACTCTCTAGAACTCTGTTTTTTTTTTTTTCAACGTGGTGTTTAAAGGAACGAGTAATGTTATAAAATTCTCCATGACAGAAAAAAATATGAACCATGTATGCCACCTCGTTCATATATATATATATATATATATATATATATATATATATAATATTTAGATTAATTTAGAGAAGTTTTTATTTGAGTGGTACTCATTTTAATGAATAATTGTAAAGATTTTTTTATAAGGTGCTCGATAGTTAGACACATTAGACTAATTATGTGATTAAGAGATGATGCTACGACGGTATTATTTTATTTAATAATGTTATTCTTTATTAATATAAATCAATAAGATGCATTTAATTTTGGAGTACTTATCTTTATTGATGATTCGGTGAGCATATCTATAGCAATATCTGCTCTAGAAAAAGAGTGACATAACAAGGACTAGGGTGTGAAGTGAAAGTCTTCAAAAATTAATTTGTTTATTTTAAAGAGGCCAACGGTGGAGACTGTTTACCTAATTAATGAGACTAATAAAAAGACAAGAGAGATAAAAAAAAAAAAAGACTTTAATATAGTTTTTGTTGATTTTAAAGAAAATCTATAACATGAAACCTAAAGATCAAAATGTAGATAATTTAGGGGGGGAAAAAAGCCACAAAGGACATAATGATGTGATTAAGGACATATATGAAGAAAATAAGTGAATTTTCAAATAATGCACATTTGGTCAAGGCTTAACATCAACTATATATATTTTTAAAAAAAGCCACAAAGGACATAATGATGTGATTAAGGACATATATGAGGAAAATAAGTGAAATTTCAAATAATGTACATTTGGTCAAGGCTTAACATCAACTATATATATTTTTAAAAAAAGCATCAACGATATTTTTTACCTTAGTGATGGATGAATTTACTGAGACACGTTCTGGGTGAGATTTCATGGTTCACACTAATGATATATTAGAATGGAGATAAAGTGATAAATAATTGAGTATCAAGATACAGAAAAATGTAACATTACAACTATTTAAACTCAATTATTATGATAAATGATAAATTGCTTATCATAGAGTCCACGGATTTGAGTTGAAAGAAGAAGAATATTCTTCTAATTTTTTTTTTTATTTAAAAGTTCTAATAATTAGACCATTCATTTTTTACTAATAGATATGTAGCATTATCTAATTATTTAAATTTTTAAATAAATGGACAAATATCCATCCGTTATAATTGATATCAAAATCAGACCCAATTCACAATCCAATATCACCCCCAAGTGCCAGATCAACGGGTCGTCCGAGTTTTTCACGCCGGCCGGGTAAACATGATGATCCGACCGCAACACCTTTACAGCCAGCTCCAAAAAAAGATGTATGTTTGAAGGTCAAGTTTGTAATTTCATTTACTGGTATGGCTAGCTCCAAAGATGAGGCCGTTATCTTTCCGCTCCTAAAAACATTCGTCACCACTTCTCTCTTTGTTCAATTGAATTCGATGGCATCGATTTCCGCTATCGGATGTCTCTCTGTTGGTAAAATACTGAACTCCTCTACTACAACAATGGTACGTTCTATATATATATAAATATATACTTTAATCATTCAAAGTTTGCGTTTTTATACTTCATTTTTTAACTGATAAATTAATTAGTTCTAGTCTATTCAGAGATGGCACAATCCAATAACACCTACATCTTTTCATGAATCACCCAGGCTCTCCAATCTTCATGTCTCCAACTTATCTGGTTAGTTAGTGACACAATTATTTATGTGTGTGTGTGTGTGAAATTATTTTTCTGTTGAAGTAATACTGATAATTTGAGCATCACAATAGTAACATATTGGTGTTTATGTTGAAATTAGATGACAGTGGCCCATGGGATTGTAGATTAGGGTTTGATAGAAGAGATGTTGTGATTTCATCAGTTGGGTTGCTAGCTTCAGCCATATGGAATACTTCAAATGATGGAGTAGCTCTCGCCAGCTCCGAATACGCAGACAGTAATTTCTCGCATCCCCTTCCCATTTTGCCCTTTGATCTGTTCTGTTTTTCTTTTTTCCTCTAAGCCGTGCAATGTGGTAGTGTATTATCTAAAGCTCTCTAATACATGCATTTACAATTGATTTGGATATTGGGCAATCGAATTCGATTTTGGTTCAGTAGTAACTACAGGGAGTTGTTTGCTGCTTATTCTTATTCTAGGGTTTTGTGGGGGGCAAATGGTGTAAGTGCTTGTAGATTTAGTATTTTTAACGTGTACTAGAAAGCGTATAGGATTGGAAGAGGAAAGAGGACTGGAATTTACTTGGTCTAGAGGTGATAGGTAGAAGTGTATTTTGGAAGCAAGTGTTGGGATTTTTGGACTGCAAGTTTTATATGGTTTTAGGTGTTACAAATATGTCCAAAGGACAGAGGAAGAAGTTGTGGTTGATTAGGGCTTTTTTTTTTGAAAGGTGATTAGGGCTTGTTAGGGTAGGGTTTTAGGGAAGAATTAGGGGCTGTTCTTGAACTGTAAACAATAACCTAAGATCAGTGATATGTATGCTTTTGTATTTTGGGCTGCTAAGGTTGAATATTTGATGGTGGGAGTTTGGAAAAATATATGTTGTTTTGTAATTTTGGGCTACTAAAATTGAATATTTGATGGTGGGAATTTGGAAAAATATGTGTTCTTTTGTAATTTTTGGCTCTGCTAAGATTGAATATTTGATGGTGGGAAAAATTGAACATATCAAAGCAGAATTGTTAGCTAAAAAGATCCAATCAGGTCTGTTGCAGTTTAATGAGAATGGAATAAAAACTAAAGAAGAATAATAAAGCTTCCCCAGTTTTCAAAGCTCAAATCTTCCTTGAATAGAATGACTACCTAAATATCACAAAAGAAAGAATATATAAATATTTATAGGCTGCTGAACCAAGCCTAATCTTATTATGATTCTGACTCCGAAATTAGAAATTATATGAACTTTGAGTAGGTGGAACATTGTAGACCTAGTACTCCTATAAACCATAACAACAGACTCAAATAACATATATTAACCTAAAATCAAACCAATGGACCACAATTGTAGCTCACACCCATTAACCATGATCAAATAAGACATAAATAAAACTATACTGAGCAGCATATTAGTGTAAGATAAACATAAGTTATTCATCCTAAAACTTTTTCTTACGCAAGGTTGGGAGCATGCTCCAAGAGAAATTCCCGATTTATGCCTCTACTTGTTAGGCTTCTCTTCTTCAATGTGCCTACTCTGAAGAATTTAGATGATCAACATATAAAGCATGCTATAATTATGAGGACTAATCTTTTGAACTATGTTTCTTAATAGTGCCAGCGATTAGGGGAAGGGATTATGGCAAAACAAAAATGCGGTATCCAGACTACACTGAAACAGAATCAGGCCTCCAGTATAAGGTCGCCTATTAAGGAGCACGTTTGTGAAATTTTATTGTGTGCTTATATGCAAAACAAACTCGTGTTCTAATTATCTTGTTATAATTCTGAATTTATAAAGAGTGCAGGACTTGCGAGCAGGAAGTGGCCCTAAGCCAAAGATGGGAGAGACAGTAGTGGTAAGCCAACAATTCTGCATATGCATAATTTCTCATTAATTTTACCATTTTTGAAAGATGGCATTTCACATTATTTGATTTGAAATGAGATAATTTGTTTCCCCCTCCCCATGCCCCCCGGCGGCCCACCCAAATTCTATCCCAAAAAAGAAAAGCCGAGAAATGTTCTGATGGATTTATTACCTTCATAATTTCACTGAAAATTCAGTCATATTCAAAGTAGGAGAACTCTCTAAAATAACTTGAAAAATCCCAAAAAATCGCTGTATAAAAGTCTTGCTAAATGACTGTAAAATCTTTCTTTCTTTGTTTTTTTGTTAATAAAAAAATTTGAAACTTAGATAAAATAATTTAACATTACAAAGTTTGCTTTCAAAAACTTTGTTGTAAAAACTGTCAACGGATTCGAGTATTGAATAAAAAAAACTAATCGAACTAACCAAAAGATGTTGTTAATATGACAAACGCAACGAACCCAAGTTGAATCAAGACAGAAAAGTAAACACGCCACTCAAAGAACACAAAGATTTTTATGTGGTTCGGCAACAGCCTAAGTCCACGGTTGGGATTCGGCGAAAGTTTTTATTATGTGTCAAATCGGAGATTACAAGTTTTCAATCCCTCGCTCTGTTTTTGTACGAATTTCAGAGTCTCTTTCTTACACCACTCCAAACCCTAAGCGCCCTTATATATTGTGCTACAAGAGACTAATTAGGGTCTAGGACCAATGAGCAAAAAAAGGGGTCAAAATTATGGGTCACCGGGTTATAAGTGGGTCGCAACGCGACCCAAATGCCAAATCTTTTTGTGTTCACCCCACAACAATCTTATTCATACTTCTTTTTTATGTTGAAATAAAATTGAAGCTAAGTCATGACTTTGAATATATTTTAGGTTGATTGGGATGGTTACACCATAGGTTACTACGGCCGCATATTTGAAGCTCGGAACAAGACAAAGGGTGGTTCCTTCGAGGTGTCTATGTGCTTCTCATTTTTTCAGCAGATTCATTATTCAGTATTTGTTTTGCATGTTATGTTGACTGTTTATTAATATGCAGGGGAATGACAAAGAATTCTATAAATTCAAAATAGGATATCAAGAGGTGAGGTTACCCATTTCGTAGATTGAACAATGTTGTCCTTACCATTCAGTGGGAAACAGATAGGAAGTACCGCCTTTATATCTTTGTGTTGTCTAAATTGTATAACTTATTTTTTTGGTTACCACAATGCTCAATGCTCGTCTGCTGTCTATGTTTAAAAAAATTTTTGGTTCTTGTAATTTTTTTTAGTGGCATGATATTGGTAGTTGTAGAGGAGGCTTCTAATGATGTTGTGTGGTTCTTGGATCTTTTTAGGTGATACCAGCTTTTGAGGAAGCTGTTTCAGGCATGGCTCTCGGTGGCATTAGAAGGTGCTGCATCTGCCTTCCCGAAGCTTGTAACTTTCTTTATTTTGGACTGATGGATCTTTGAGGAGTTCATCAAATGAATAAATGATACACAACAAACACGTATGTGTTCCAATGAATGTTTAAATGCTCATGCACTATCTGTTACGATGACCCTTCTGGCACCTACCAGAAATGAGTCATGGAAGCAGGAGAGAGATTGAATCATGTTTAGGTGTGACTTGAGAAAGTTCTATATGCAGTCCTCAAGCTGGATACTATGCATTTTCAGTCCTCAAAGAATGCTTTTAAACATTCATGATAATATATAGGGGCACTTCAAATGAACTTTCATTTTATTTAAAAAGAAAAGAACTGGCATCTCAAGTAGTAACTTGATCATAAAAGTAGCATGGCAAATCGTATATAATAGAAGTATATATGCATAACATTTCATAGTTTATTTGGTGATAGTGATCGTAATTTATTTGGTGTTGGTGCAGGATCATAGTGCCTCCAGAGCTGGGATATCCTGGGAATGACTACAATAACAAGGGCCCAAGACCAACAACATTTTCGGTAAGAGTAATGCTACGAAAACCGATCGGTTTTAGCTTTCAAAAAGAATGTCAATCATTAATTGTCACATAAGGTTGGTTGTATAGTCGGGTAAAAGAAGTCTGTCAATTATATCATTTTTATTTTGGTAAATATTAGTTCTTCCAGGTGATGCTTGAGTTATATGTAACTTTTCCATAAAGGTGCCTATTGTGTGTTGCAGGGCCAACGGGCATTGGACTTCGTGCTGCGGAACCAAGGATTGATAGACAAAACCCTCTTGTTCGATATCGAGCTCCTAAAGATCATACCAAACTGATCGCTCTTCAAGTGCAATTGGCTCTGTGAGTTCTCATTTTCAACCAGGGAGTGGAAAGATACTAGATAACAAGAGAGCCATTTTGTAACCACTAAATATCAATCAACCTAGATGGGCATACTTCATGTAATTAGATATTTTATTCTTTTCTTTTCTTTTTCTGTTCTTGTTTTGCTTTTACCATCCTCAGATAATGTGGCATGGCAAATCGAACATTGATTGTGTAAAATGGTCTTTATAATGTGTTATAAAGTAAAAAAGCAGAAGTATCTAGCAATCATTTATGTAGAGACGTTGTTGTTCTTTTAATTTATTGTTTTCTAATTTTTGTTATCAGACTAAGATTATACAATTGTACTTTCAATTCTAGATGTCAAGACAATATCAGAATTTATTTCTCTGCCGGTATCAAGTCAGTATGATAGCACATTGGTTGGTTTATGCTTTCGAATCCAGTAAAGATGAAAATGGTTTCTCACTCCCCGACATTGCTTTAATTGTAAAAATATACGTGGTACTTTATAAAATGTATTATCAAACACCTAACATACATTTTATTGTAATTTTATATACTGAAATAGCGTAAAACTGCATTGAGAATGAACAGTTAAATTTACACCGTGTTGGGATTAGAGTTTATTAAAATCATTACCATAATTTTTTGCAAGCATTCAGTAAAATTCATAATCATGTTGGAAGCTAAGTTCTGTTTTCACTTAAGGTAAAAATCTGGACCGTGAACCCAAAATTAGGAAAAAGTTGGCCAAGTATGGTCCCGCCAGAAATATCAAACATAGGTTAGTGTCAATTTAAAACAGATTCCATAGTTTATTTCTGTAGCATTTTCTTTTATCTTTTTTGATAAGTAAAAATCATTCAAGATTGGCCAAGTTATTAAAAGTTTTGGTTGATATTTGGTAAAATTTTTGAATATTTAAAAATTTTGAATTGTCGGTGCTCATCCAGAACTTTGGCAGCTGTTTGCACAATGTGGTGTCCTTGATCTTGACCTAAGAACAAGCCAAAAAACACAGCTGTCTCACACGATGAATGGTCGCAGCAAGGACAACGCAAAATGAGACAAAGGCCCGCACATCATAAAAGGGCGAAAAAATGCTTAATATCCATACATATAAGTTAATTTTGAATGTAAATATCAATTATTGGCCAGAGTTAATAGTCGCTGTATTTCCTAGGCAAAATGAATCAGAGAAAATTCGCCCTTACCACCAAGTAGACTAAAAGACATTATGCAGTGAAGGGACTGCGCTTTTACAAGATTTTTTATTTTATTTTTAATTTTTTTTTGTAATTGGGTGTCCGAGGCTTTACCCAACTAATCCCGAGACATCGTGCAAAACCCCCTCCACATGGGTTAGTAAAACTAATGCTTATACTTGCGGGCGTTGTCTCGATAAATTGGTTATACTTAAGGGGAGGTGAACTTTAGACATACTACTTCGTGAGACGCCGGCCCAAGTGACTAACCACTTGAGCCGACCCCTTGAGGTTATGCTTTTACAAGGGTTGAGTCTTAATATGGATAGGGTTCTGGATCAAGCTAGATTATCAATTTATCGTTCTCAACACAGAATAAAATAACATCACTGCACCAAAATGGATCAAATCATATACTCAAAACCCCCATGGCTGGGTAAAATAACTTAAACAAAACCAATGTGCTCAAAGTTGCAAATATAATAAGAAGACAAAACACTACACAAATTAGAACACCTAATTCAAAGACAAACTGCAGATGGGAGAATAATGAAAAATGTCAAAAGACTACTTGAGACAAATCGAGAGAGTAACAGCAGTTCTAAAATGAACACTAGACCATAACTTAGAGAACATGTAGGTGTTCAATTTCAACTTGCCTCATTCATGGAGATATTTTAGCATGCCCCAGTTAGTAGACTGGAAGTTCTCGACGCTTGTATCTCACCATAACCTTTCCTTTTACACCCACAACCATGGCATTCCAATCAATCTCTGGAAAAGGTGAGATCAGTTCCAACTCAAAATTTCTCAGCAAATGGCTCCATATTGCCTTTATTTGCAGATATGCAAATGGCTCCCCAAGACACCCATGCCTGCCACCACCAAAAGATATATATGAGAATGCTCCTGCAACTTTGTCCTCTTCTCTACCGGCAGCAAATCTGTCAGGATCATACATGTCTGGATCCTTATAGATGTGTGGGAGTCGATTGGCAAAAGCAGGGGACGTAGCGACTATGTGGCCCTTTGGAATATCGTATTCTTTCCCTTCCCTGGTTGTTACACTAAACTCACTGTGTGAGCTACGTAAAAGCATTATCAGAGGGGGATGGAGTCTCAGGGCTTCCTTGATGCACCGGTACAAGACGTCCATCTCAGACAAGATATCATGATCAACCTTGTTTCCATGCTTTCCCACAAGGTTCTTCTGCTCATCCAACACAGCAGAAAGGTACTTCTTGTTGCTGAGGAGGTAGGCCCCAGTCCAGGTGGAAGTGATGGAACTGGTGTGTTGACCGGCAAAGAGAGCAGCAATAAGCAGGCCAGTGACCTCACCCTCTGTCGTTGGGCGACCATCTTTGTACTTGGAATCAATGAAGCACTGCAACAAGTCATTCTCTGACTTGCCTGTCTGTTTACGAGAAGCTATGATGTTTGCAAAAATTGCTGCAAGCTTCTTCCGAGCCTGGTCTCGGGTGCGATGGGCTGGGATGGGTAAGTACGGAAAGATCACACTGATGGGCAGCATCCCATTGTCAAGGTCATGGAAGAGGGCAGATACATCATCAAAGAGCTTATTACGAACTTCTTGACCCAATAGGCATCTGCTGGCTGTCAAGATGATCAGATGCTCCAGTTCATACTTCAGATCCACCTCACCGCTATCCCCCCATTTTGAGAAATATTCCTGCACGGCTCAAGCACAATAAAAATAAACAAAACGGGACCAAGGAGTTCCTGTTATTTGTAAATTCAGCAGTACAAAAAATCAGGGAAGATAAGGTAGACAATTTCAGGATTCATTATTTTCCACTACTAAAATAAGAATATTGTTGCCATCCCAAGAAAAATTCGTAAAACTCAATAACATAACACCATGCATTTGGTCAAGAGTTAATATGAAAGGGAAGTTCAATTACGATATCCCGAGTGATTAACAACATTGTAGCTGATTGTAAATAGTGACACAACAAACTAAGCATCAAAATGTACTAGATGTGTGTTGCCCTTAGAAAGCATCATCCATTGATATATGTTTTCAGCATTATATGTGCTGTGTCAACAATGCATCTTCCAGCATTCTAGATGATCACAAGCCTCTCTTCTTGGGGCTCCATGGACCAGTGCGTGTCATTACTCGAAACTAAATGGACCAACAGCAGTCCAAGGGATTCTCAATTGACTGAATAATACATCAATAGCCATTAGTGGATCAGAACCCACTGGTTTTTCACTTCTCACTTTTTCTTTGTCAAGGAATCATGCAATCGAAGTATTTGCCACGATAATCTCAATTTTCAAAATCTGATCGCAGAAATTTTGCAACTATTAACAAAATCATACTTTTGTGAAGAAAAATAATGCAATTGAAATTTGGATCACATTAAACAATCATCCGATTGAAGATGCCATTTCCAAATAAAACGATAAAATGGAAAGAAAATTGACAGTATAGACGCTGCTGGATAAAAATGAAAGTCTGCAACATGATCTTAACAATTATATGCACTAAAGATTTGCATAATATGAAATATGTAAAATTGAAGGACCTCATAAAAGATCTATTTGAGGCACAAGCAGTGACAACGAAATCACAAAAACAACTCAAGTTATGTTTGGGAGCAGCATGGGATTGGAGCCTTCGAATAGGAATTGACAGAAAAATAGTTCAAACTTTAAACTATTTTTCCTCCAATTCCAATTTTAAGGAGCTAATTCCATGCTTCCAAAAGTAACATCAAAGTAAACGACCCAGAATTATATTAAAAAAAAAAAAACATATGAGATAGTTCAAAACAGCTTTTGTAAACGGATCACATGATAGCTAGCAAATAACCACCAACTAGGCAAAGTTACACTTCTAGATATGAATGCAATGCGCAAAAGAAGTGTACAGGGGGGACAAGGAAAGCTATAAAGCAAAAAAGAGCATGCAACATCTGAGATATGTGATCCCAAATTTTGAACAGGCTTAGTGATGGAGGAATTTACCCAATCATGTCGAGCCCTTCACATTACATTCTATTTTCTGTAAATTTATAATCTTTTACTTTTTATGGCAACACCCTTAAGCTGGAACTGTTCTTTGATTTCTTTCATCTCAACAGAGGGACTCAGATGTAAAAGACAAACCTTGGCATCAAAATCGTTCTTATACTTTATTTTTTCCCTACGTAATCGACCTTATACTTCATTTATAAGGAAGTGTGGGAGTAAACATTCACTATATTAGAAGATCTTGTAAGTTCAGAACTCCATCAACACTAGATACATTTCGTATTACTTGCAAAGTGATTCGGAATATTGAGGCCAGATGGCGGAAAGATTGTATCTACATCCCCATTCTCCTAACAATATTGGACCTTCAAGATCCAATTAGTAAATATAGAAAAAATGATATTCACTCTGACTGAACAGTCTAATAAGTGAATTAGCTGACTATAAGTTTAAAACAGTTCTTTTATATATATATATATATAACTTCAATTCAGACCCAACTATGATCCTATTTAATCAATTAATTCAATACCCAACTATGATCCTATTTAATCAATTAATTAAATCCTCAGCTTGAAAAGCACTACTCTTATATATATATATATATACAGACACCCACTAAAACAAACATTTCAATCAATTGGGTCTTGCTTGCTTATTACATGTTATAGTCTAAAGTTTTTCTATATACTAAAAAAACAATTTAAAAAATTGAACATACAAGAATTGACTTATCCCAAATTCAAATATAGATTATTTTCAACCAAACAAAACCACATACCTCAGCCTCCAAAACCATCTGATCCACATAACCCTTCAATTTACTGACTCTAAGAGCCTCCGTGAAGAACCTGAACTGCTCTTGTCGAACCGAGTAATCGACATCGAAAACAACGCCGGGACCGAATGTGGGCACATTGAACTGATATACCTCTTGCTGGCTCAGATCGGACTCTGTCGCCTTGAAGAAATGCGCCGAAACTTCCGGTCCGATCAAGAAAGTGATGTTCTTGTTCAACAGATTCAGCGTGAACACACTACCCAATTTCGGATACTCTTCTCTCAACATCACGATCGGACCTTTCAGGAATTTGACGAGCCCTCCGATCGCCGGAAAAGCCTTGACCGCCGGAGGGAGGCGTTTGGTAGATCTGGGCATTAGGAGTGCCGAAATGAGTTTCGCGACGACGATGGTCGCCACGATGAGGAGACCCACATTGAAGAATTTGTTATCCGAATCCATCGTTACAATAATACGACAAACTCCGGTGGATTGAACTTAATCTGGTAGGACAGAAACCCTAGTAAGAGAGAGAGAGAGTGAAGCCATGAAGGTTAGAGAGAGAGTGTGATTGAGTTGCAGAAGGGACTGTCGTGTGGTATATATAAAAGGTGTCAAAGGTACTCTGTATTTAGTAGATCCGTCTCATCGATACCCTTCAATCTTTTATTTTTCATATTTCTTTTTTTCCTTACAGAGAATCTTTATTTTTCATTAATGGTTTTACTTTTTAAATTTAAGAAGGGTATAAAATTAAATTTCATAATTAATAGTATTTCTTTTTAAAAAACTTTTCTTTATATATGTATATATAAAGAAATTTTCAATGGAACTGGATTTTTTTTTTTGTTTTTTGTCAAATTGAAATTTTTTAATGATTAAAAGTAATTAGTGTAATTTTAAAAAATATAAGAAAATTATTTGTTTATTTTCAACTAAAAATAATATTACTTTTCTAGAGAATAAATTAGAAATTTTTATTTATAAATATTTAATAAATCAAATATGAAACTCGGCAATTGTAGTTTGAGATTCGATTTGATTGTGAATGTGTAGGAACAGTTTTTTAAGATTGGACTTCGGAGGCCATTCATTAACAACTGGGCTGGCTATCTGGATTGGAAGTTAAAACAGTGGGCCTTTTAGCGTGGTTTTGTATAAGACGTTGGATTTTTTTCTATTATCCAGAGAAAATAATACTAATCTCGCATAAATCACAGTATTAGGCCCACTGTTTTACTTCCAATCTACTAATAAGAGAGATAACTAGTCAACCCAAACCCCTCTGTAATCACCTACCCATTATTTATTTACTATATATATATATATATATATTCCAACAATTACGGTGTTGGACTCCTAGTTGTACAATTATTCTCAATGAGTGCCACTGTAGTTCCAAAAATGTTGTTCTCGCTCTGGCTTCAATTCCACTAATTGACTTAATTTTATTATTTTCACGTTCCCGCTTTTGAATTTATTAAGTGACTTGGTTGTCAGACCTCTTATAACTTTCTTGTTGAGTATAAAAATTCCTCAGAGTGGCCCTGCCCTTTTAACTCTTGAATCATGATGATATAGAAAATTTTCAACTAGTCCAGACTTAACCTAGATGACAGGAATCACCATCTATTCCCCACATCATAACAATCAATCCTCACCATGAAGAAGTGTAATCTTTTTTATTTTATTTTTTTATGGCAAGATTGTTAAAAGGGTTAGTGGTTATGAAGCAATTATTCTCTATGTTGCATTGTTCTTTGTGTATAAAGACTTTCAAACAACAAGGATCAAAGATGATGACTCAATGAAGTACTTGGAAGTTGAGAAATGAAGATACAGGCTTAACAAAAAACCTACTTGTCTGGTTGCCCCCGAGTATCATGTTTTAAAATTAGTTCACTGTCGAGTCATTTCTTCTTGATCTGGTTGGGGTGTGGGTAGGGAAGCCATACTTGGGCGAAGAACATGAACTGTCTCGAGAAGGAATCAGTGAAAGAAGTAAGGTACAATCAAACAAAATAGTTGATTAGCAAGGCATTTAAATGCAAGTGAACTAAAATTTATTTTAATGGAAAAAGGTCAGAAGGTTCATAAACAGACACCATTACATTGAGAGCCTCATTGAACCTCTGAGAACTCTATCCATTAAACTTTCCTGAAAACTAGAATCAACGGCATTGCCGGCTTCTGAGGCAGTTCTATCATCCTTCTTTTCAAAACAGTAAGCAGGGGCCTGCCACTTCGCATCCTCAAGCATTGCACCCACTTCAAATGTCATGACATGAGCAGCCCTCCCTGCAGATATTCACACAAATAAGAACCAAATCAATTTATGATGTGCTGGAGCAAAGAGAACAAACAAATTACTGCAACCTCAAAATGCTTCAAATCAGAATAAAATTGAAGTTTATCTGCATGAAGCTTTTGAATGCCATTTAGAAAGAAATAATCAATTCAGTAAGCAAAAACTATGCACTTCCCAGGGTTATAGTTGCCGAACGGAAGAGCTTCAGCTACTACCATTTAATCAAAACCAAATCTAGGCGGGTAAGTTTGGACACACCTGCGAAATTAAATGGCATTGTTGTGTGTTTTATACAGATTTAGACCTTACAAGTTACAGAAATATCAAGTAGGAGATGACCACCTCAAAAGAAAATCCAGCAATTCCCAGGACTTATGTTCGATCAATTTCAAGTTTCATCTAATACTTGCATTTCTCACTCACACTCTCATATCATTCATTTTCTTGAGTTTTTCTCTGCCACTTGAGGCGATCATAATTGTCTAAATATGGGGTAAAGCACAAAACACTCCTCTATTATAGTTTTTGTGCACGATAACCCCCAAATAGCAACTTCTTTGTCTTGCATAATTAATTCCAGTGCAACCAATTCCTAAAATAAAGAGGAAGTTGTGCATTTTAAATAAAAAATATCATTATTAGCACTTGTTGAAACCAGCTATCTCATTCTACTTTATGATCCATAAAAGCCTACTAGTTTTAGCTTTTGGCACACTATTACCATGTTCCAGTTTTTGTGCTGAAATGTTCCATTCTCGAGCTAAGATAGGTTAATATCTGCAACGGTACCATAAAATCCGTGTAATGCCTAGAGTGCATGTATACTAAATTTTACTTGAGATATCCATTTTTTCTCCACATTTTAATTTTCTATATTAAATTAAACCAAACCTAAAAGGGGTGTCAGAGCAAGTTTTGCTCAAGTTTAATCTGAGAGCAATAAACTCAAACCTCAGGGGGTGTGGGGGCATTTAACCCTAATTTTTTTTACCAAGTTAATTGTTACGACAGATTGACAAAATATATGGATGGTCTAAAGGGTTTAGTTCTTGCAATGGGCACTTGGTACATTTCTTGATAATTCTAGGTATTCCTCTTGCATTTTTTGAATATCTTAATTTTCTTGGCAGTATATCATATATGCCTAGAAACCATAACACTGCTCTTTGAATATCTGAGGCTTAAATAGGCCTAACCATGCTCCAGAGAAGATTTTGAGATATTCTTATTTTTACTTCCTGTAAGACTAATCATCTCAATCTTTAGACTATTTTACCTATATGATTTTCGGAAAAATGATGAGGTCAACTTGATTTTCCTATTGATAATACCATCGGTATGGGCTTCATTGAGAACCCTTGCGTATTAACTAATTTTCAATAACACCTATGGAAGAAAATATTGTAAATTTTACAGCAAGAAAGAACATGATACAATAACATTATGTCTATAATGGCTGTGTAAAATTTGTATAAAATTTAATGAGAAAAACACTTATGGATCTTGCAATGTTAGTTGTAACATTTATGTATATGATACATTAAGTGTGTGCATACCACATCTGAGGAAATACCAAGCATAAATGTCATTTTGTCATTTCACATTCTCATGCTTTTTTAATATTAGCTTATTGTATTGCACAAAGGACATTTAAGTCTTTTTATTTTGCAGCTAACGGAAATGTGCCCAAAGGTCCTTATTTTAACACTTTAGAAACTTGAGGGGATTTCAGGAACGACAGGACTATACGCACTATATGAGGGGTGTTTTGTGCACTTTACCCTCTAAATATGTGGTTTTAGCAAAGAAAGAGTAAACTAGACTAGAGAAGATAATTTCACGCAGTCAATCCTCATAGTTGAGATTACAGTCGCTGTGTGAAGAAATATTTGTCTTCTCCCAAGACATTTGAACAAAAAACAGTGATAGGTGCCGTTTCTTAAAGAATTGCCATTCATAGTAACAGATTTGTACACTAATCTGCATGCACATTGATGAAATATGCTGGTCCAAATCATTAACTGCCATTTGAGAAACGACCGAAACAAACTACAAGCATACACTGACAACTACTACACTTTTGGAGAAAATGACATAAATCAATCAGAATATAGAAATCCGATTACTAAAAAAATCATACTATTCTGGAGAGCATATTCGGATTTTGCTACCTCACTCAATTACAAACTCCGGAAAGTCATTAAATAAACCCAGTCATTTTAACTGGTTATACAAATACTATATAGCAGATAAACATATCATTTCATATATAAATAGCTATTCCCCAACTAGCATACTTTATTGTATTATTATGTCATGAAAATTAATAATTTTTATGTACCATATAAAAAAAAATTAAAAAAAAAAATTTTCTAGCAGCAAAATAGGTTATAATATATTTTTCCGCAGATAATAATTACTTATGAGTTGTTCTGTTTCAGGGTTTACTCTATTTTTAGGGATTCCAGTTCTTCAATTTCTAGAATTAGTATTTTAATTGCGGGGGTTAGAATCATGTATAAAACATTTAAGGGGGAAAAAAAAAAAACTTTTAGCAGCAAAAATAGAATATGATATCTTTTTCAGCTTTCAGCTTTCTGTTTCATGGTTTACTCTGTTTTTAGGGTTTCCAATTTCTTCATTTTATAGAATTAGTATTTTAATGGTGTGGCCGTTGGAATCAAGGTACTTAGGGTTTATAAGAAAGATGGCTTAAATTAATACCTGTGTAGAAGAGCCAATGAACAGGCCTCTTGGTGAGGACGTCCTCGTAGTACCATATGAAGTCCGCCTTCTCCCACACATTGCAGAGGAACCCATCGACATGCCTCTGACCCAAATAATGTGCGCCGTCGAGCCAATCGGGTGGGAGAATCCCAACCTCGAGCTGTGCTGTTCCACAGCTAGGGTTTGAGCCGAAGGTGTAGAAGAAGGAGGTGCCATTGTTCCATTCGAGGTCGTAGAGGATGTCTCCGAGCTGGTGCTGTATAATGTTGAAGTTGCGACCTTTGGGCCAATCGTACCAGAGGTCGATGATTTGGAGTGATCCGGTGTAGTTCATCAACAGGATTGAGTGGAATTGGTGGGGCCATGGTGTCGGAGTTGGGTCCGCCGTTGATGCCACCGCCGGAGAAGAAGATGATGATGAGGTGCATATGAGGATGAGGAGGAGGAACAAGGGTTTGGTTGCAGCGGACGCCATTCGTCGATTTGGGGAGTGAGAGTGTGTTACAGGAGATGGACGCGCGTTAGTCAGTTGTGGATAATCAGAGATAAATGTCGTACGTTAATTCCTTGGTAACTTCTCGTGGTGAAGGATATTGCGCAGAAGAACTGTCAAACTAGATAGCCTAGTTTTGGTTGGAAAGAAAAGAAAGGAAAAGAAGGATGGATATAGTGTCGGTGTGCCGGTTTTTTTTTTTTTTTTTTTTTTTTTTTTTTTTTTTACCGTTAAAAAATTTTAAAAGAAAAAAAAGAGATTGGAAGGATTTTTAGAGAAAATATTAATGATTTTGTTATTTTTTAAAAAATGGTAAGAAATTGAAAGAAATAGATTTTTAATAAAATTTTATTAATATTAAATTTATTTTTATATTTCGATAAGTGATCTTATTTCTTTTTTTTTTTTCTTTTTACCGTAAAAATTAACTTTTTTTTTTTCTCTTTTACCGTACCAAAAATATTAATTGGAAATTCATTTCTTTATAATTATAAAATTTATTTATGTTTTGGAATTATAGTACTAGTTCCAAACTTCCAATAATGCACAATGATTTAAAAACTGTGACGATGATAAGATGGATGACTATGCCAAGTAGGACAACAACTATGTGAAGCAGACCAACCGTACACTTGTCCACGCTCTAGAGAGACTTGACGTTATTATTATTAATTTTTTTTTTTCCGAGGTTAACTTGATGCCCTTTTGGTAACACGTGATATACATGCAGCCTCCGGGGCAAGGGCTGACAAAACACAGAGATAAACATATTTGAGTTCATATCAAATGAATTTGAATCATAAACGACGTGGCACGGTTAATTCGTTTAACTAATATTATTATGTTAAAGCTGAAGAATTTAACATGCGTAACTTATTTAATATTACTCGTGTAACTCATTATCTGTTTAGATTCAATTACTATAAATAATTAGCCCATTTCAACACTAGCCTTAATAAAAATATACATTAGTTCTTTAATTAATGTATATTTTTTACAATATTATTATTTTATTGAGTATTATAAATAATTTAAATAATATAATATTTGATTTTGATAAATATATTATTAAACAGGTAACACGTCTAACTCATTTAGCAAATGTGTCAGGTTGGCGTGAGGCTTGTAACACAATTATTAAATGAGTCGGGTTAGTGTTTGACATCTTTAATAGAATATCTTTATATTGACACGACACAATTTTGATATGTGATCACGAATCGCCACCTATTCCAAGGTAATCTAAAATTTGACTTTTAATTATGAAAGTGACGATCCTGCACTTGTCAACAAGGTCTAAGAAATTACTCCGAATTATATTGTCTCGGATTATTAGTTTCTAGAGATGTTCGTGCGTGCATATTGAGTTAATTTGAGTCGTTCCCAATGTTTTAGTCCATTACAAAATGCACCAAGTATATCAAATATTTACATACATTTGTTTAGATATTAAATAAATATTTGCTCGGAGGTAAGTAATAATTTCTTTCACTTTTAAGGTTCACTTACTATTTTATTTTTATATTTTTTCCTGATAAGTACTAAATCACTTACCCAGTTACCCTACACCAACTTATGTTTCAGTTTGAGAAAATGTTTTTTTTTTTTTTTTGGGCCAAGTAAGTATGAGGATATATAAACATGGGTCATTCCAATGGTCCAAAATGAACAGAAAACCCATTCAGACAATTTCTAAATGGGCGAAAAACACCAAAAACAAAATAAATATGGATAAGGTAAAACAACCCAACCCATGAAAATTACAAAAAGAGGCAAGCAACTAGGCCCAATCCATACAATAAAATGTTAGTTTGGACAAATCTCCGAACATTTAAAAAGTAAGATTTAACGCGTAGCTCAACCAGCCTGTTCTTTGTCTTAATTTGTATGACCCCTCTCGGTCACCTATCAAATCAAGTAAGTAAGTTACCTGAACTTTTCATGTTTCTCTGATTATTTTTTCTCAATATTTTAATTTTCATATATTAATTCGATAAGAGCCTCATTTACCGTAGGTGGAGAAGAAATTGGTAATGACATTTTAGGAAATTTTTAAATGGGGAAAAAATTGATTTTGTTGTATTAAGAAATAAAATAAGTGAGTTTGTAAGTTGTAAAATGGTTTGATTATTTTGAAAGGTTTCTATATTTGGTGCGGGCTCATCAATGATCAAGGGATTATTATTTTTTATACAATATATAATGATAAACATATTTGAAGTAAAATTATAAATTTAGTACCGTGTGTGTGTCTATATATGTATTTTCCATCCCTCACTTTTTTTTGTTAATCATAAATGTAATATTCTACTTACCATTTTTCGAGGGTTTTTCAGTGGACTATGTGTATATATATGGATAATAATTTAGAGGTATTATTATTATTTGTAAATTATAAATATAATATTCTACTTACCTTATATATAACACCTATTAACTCCCGTTGCCTTATGTAACTCTCGCCAATGTTGCTGACTTGTATAGGTCTCACCTACTCTAATTACCTCCTCTATAAATAAGCCTCTATTGTATGGTTTTATACTTGTAATTTGAAGAGAATTTTGGTGCTAGCTTATTCAAACAAGATGGCCAATTTTCTAATCTGTCTCTCCCTAACATTTTGCATCCTCCTCATTCTCACGTCAGGTAACATTTATTTATTTTTAGAAGGTCAGACAAATATTAAGAGAGTCAATATATTTTATTCCTGTTTTTTTGTGGTAAATAATGTATAAGTAAGTTTTTCATGTATTGACAAAATGATATATATATAACTTAATTACTGCTGAGAAATAAATTTTGGTACTGCTTGCAATTTTTATTGACGCACCTGATCATAAGATGATTAATATTGTTTTCAAAAAAACAATAACATATATTTATGTGTACATGTATATATATTAATGTAGCTACGACGTCGACGCGCGCGCTAGAAAAGGTCGGATTTTCAGAGTTTGAAGGAGTGGGATTAGTGGGTATGGCGGTGGAGCCGGATTGCATCGCCAAGGAATTGAGTTCGAGCTTATGCCAAGGAGATCCAGCAGAAGCACAACAAAAATGTGATGCAGCGTGTAAGAAATTTGTGGCTAGAGGAAAATGTGAGATCGGCCAATTTGGCCCGTGTTCATGCTACTGCGGCTAGAAAAGTCTCATCTGGACTTTTATCTTTTTCTCAAATGAATAAATGAATTATAAATTTTGTCTCTCGCGTTTGGCATGTGAAGAAATTTGGAATATGCGGGGAATGGTTTGATTTACAAGCTAGAGCCACAAACAAAGTATATCGTATTAAACTATTAATGGAGGAAATGTATGACCATATAATAGGAAAAAATTATATTAAGGAAAAATTACATAATACATGAAGTAAGGGACCTTTTTTTACAGCAACATGAAGTTAAATTTTTTAAATCAAATAAAATAAATTCTTTAAAAATTTTGTGCACATAAAATTATTAGCATACACACCGTCACACTCCTTTGAATATTTTTTTGAAAGAGTAAAAGGGTAAAATGGAAATTACAACATTCCCTAATGTAGTATCAAATTTATGTTTGAGGGATGTTTTTGCACAATATTAAAAAAAAAAATAGATTATTTGTATATCTTTTTAAATAGGTGCTACATATGTAATAAAACCCAACAGCTCCTCCAATTTTAATTAATTAATATTATTATTTTTTAAATTATTATTATTTTTTTCAGAACAGCTCCTCCGATTACACGGTACCGAACTATACACATGATAAAAGCCCCTTAACTTATTTATTTATTTATTTTTAATTTTAAAAAACTTGTTATTTTGCCGAAATTGGCCTAAATAGATAGAGACAAGAGACTACCAAATGTGCCCTAATTACATGGTACCAAACTGTATGCAATAAAAGCCCTTAACTTAAAAAAATCTTCCTATTTATTATGAACATTGTTGATGATCGCACCAGGACAACTGCTTAAGTGGCGCCACCTTTGCAAAATAGGCACAACTGGCAAGTGCTTACCTGGTGTGCTCACCATGGGCTAGGTATTCTCGAGTTACCTATCCAATAACTGAACTTACTGACTGAGGAAGGGGTCGCTACCCTTCCCCTACTGTGAACTTACCCCGCTCCAGTAGGATGGGCTCCTCCCCCTCCCTGCCTGCCCGAGGTTGCTCTCTGAAAGAGCAACCTCGGCTAACCTGCTCTACGAGCTCCCCTTTTCAGTTATGGGGGGCCTCGAGACGAAATTGGGATAAGCCCTGCGAGGTCATGAAGGCAGGACCTTGAAAGGTGCCTTTTCCCTCTGAAGTTCGGGAATCTGAGGACATGTGGACAGGTGGCTGGGATCCAAGGTACCGCTTCAGTCCGAAGCCGATGCAAGGAGGAAAGGACATTCGGTATTCGAGCTCGAGCTATGAGTGATAAAAGTGCATTAATTACGATACACGTTTCACAAGATGTGTATTAATTAAGGAGCGCCATTATCTCTTTGAACCAGGGGGTAAAGCACCGCGACCCTTCTACCAACGTCCCATCTGTTTGGAAGAGAGACCCTCAAACCCTTGGGTAAAGTTGGGATCACTTGAAAGACCGAGAGACATTGTCTGAAGGAGTGAGTACTATAAATAAGGGCATTAATCAGCTTTTAAGACAACAACTACCACTAATATACCCTTACATAGTCGAGCTTCAGTTCGTTGGGTACCGAGGTCAGCCTTCTCTTTCTCAATCTTCTGTCGAAGAATCCCTTGTATTGCTTGGATCTCTACTTAGATACTGATCTCAAATTTCTTGACTTACGTGGAGCGATCTTCTTATCCTACAAAGAACTACCTTCAACAAACATATATACACACACACATAAGAGACAACCAAAGGTGATTCCAACGACTTCTCCAATTGCATGGTACTAAAATTGTACGCAACATGAGTTCGTTAACTTGGACATTTTTTGCTATTTAGGCGGAAGTTGGCCCAACCCAATATGCAGAACCAATGATGGCCCCCCATCGCCCAAACAATTATCCTTCAAAGTTAGAAGCCCACTGTACCACATAGCCAGCACTCTCTAACTGTTTATTTTTTAATTTTTATTTATGTGAAAGAAAATTTTTCTTTCAGAAATTCAAGTAATGGCATAAGTTTTCAGTATCTTTTCTTCTTCCT